CCCACTTTCCTCAACCCAAACCTTGTCGGATTTTTGGAAATCCATGTTCGGAAATGGATCCCATGAGGGAAGTGCAGCTACGGAGGGTTCTCTGTGCTTCCTGTAGCTTTAAACGTCACCTGCAGCTTTTGGCGGGGTGATGTAGAAAAAGAAAGGCAACCCTGCCACATGGGTGGCTGCTGGCTCAAAGGAAATCATACTGTTTGTGGGGGCACCCCTGTTTTGACACATACCCACAGTTTGGCAAACAGGGCATAAGCCAAGGTCAGAATTGCAAATGTTTCCCCTAGAGGACATGCGCCCTCCACGCTCTTCCACGATAAACCACAGACTGGCGGAAGTGTTGACCGAATCATACGCTAAACCCGAACTGAGGAAGAGGGGCCTTGTTTGAACATTAGTTGGGCTAGCCGGATGGGCGTTTTTGCCCCAAAAACCTACAGGACTGGTTTGGGTTTGGTCCTTCTTGTTTTCAGAAGGGAAACCAAAAGGATATCCAAACATCCGTCAGTTTGGGGTTCCCACGATTGAGACAATCCTGGATGAGTTGGTCCAGGGTGCAAATAAGAGCAGACATTGGAGCCAAGGTCACGTCTGGCTCCTCAAAACGCGCGCAACAGACACTTCTTGCTCGAAGAAAGGGAAGACCAAAAAGCGCACTGCCGGCATGAGTTGGATACTTGGCTCGTGCTTTCCTCGGCCCGAGTCCCTTCCCGTCTTCGTCTCTCTCGATCGCCGAGTGAAGCCCGCGGCGGCCCGGCCAGCGCCGCCACCGGCAGCTCGTGGCCCGCGGCGAAATGCAACGCCGTGCCTTCCTCAGGCAGATGCGGCGCGAGGCAAGCGGTGCCGCGGGAAGGCTGGGGAGCTCCCTATCAACTTGAGAGGGCCAGACTTCGCGACCAAATCGGCTCGCGAGAAATTCGGTGAGTTGCAGTTGGGGACGCTTTGGACTTCATTTGCATGGGGGATTCCCCGTTGAAAGCAAAACATGGCCAGAGTCACCTTGACCAATTGACCAAGGGTGCCCAGTACCGATCACAAGGTCAATGATTAAACCATAGTTTACCGACGGTCGAGCTGCGTGTTCCTCAAACGAGCCCCCAAACACCATTCTGTGCACAGCAAAACATGAGTAGGCTGATGTTGGCACTGCATGCACAAAAACAACAACATGCCCCACGCTAAAGGACAACTGTGGCCATTCTGGCGGTTCCCCAAAAACACACAACCCATTGAAGTCAGGTAGGGGGAAACAACAACACGACGTGGAGAAACGAGCGTTTCTGTTCACCTTGAAGGTTTGAAATCCCAGACCTCCCAACTTGAGATCTAGCTTCGAATCCAAGTTCCCCGGCGCAGTTTAACTGTATTGCAGGTATATATGTGTACTCACATATACATATGTTGTATATATATATATATGTATGTATTGCTCTATTTATATTATAGTGTACATATATATATATATATTGCACATATATATATATATATGCTGTACATGTATACATAGATATGTGTAGGCCAATACCAATACCAGAAGTCGTAAGTCTGAGCTTGAAGTCTGAAATTGCTAATGGAGTTTCAGGGTGTTTTTGACGTTCCTCAAATAGGGTACCCTTTTCTAGGTTGGTTTAAGCTTACTTGCTCAAAAGACCCAGAAAGGAGAAACAACTTTTGGTGCCATAAGAATGGACCAAACAAGGGAAACCAAGATGTGAAAAGATCGATTTGCTTTGGGCAAGTGAGTAAGTGTAAAGCCGAAAAGCACCCCACTTCTGAGCCCCCCCCCCCCCCCCCCAGCCCCCCTGGTATTTTTTGATGCAATCCCAGCCCCTTTCTCGGCTCTTTTTTCCGACTTGGGCTTCCGGCCACTGAGTCCACGGTGTTCAGCTCCCAGCGGGGCAGAGGGGAGATGATGCAGGACAAGCCTTCGGGTCAAGGAACGCACTCTTTCCCTTTGAAAACCAACCACCTAGAAGATGACCCACATTTTTGCGAACATGGTGATAAATTAATAAAACAGAACCGTGATACAAAAGTGGTTTCCCACCTTCACTGATTTCCAGACCAAACCAACGCCAAACCAAACCAAAGAAAGAAGTGTGACAAACAAACTTTGTTTAGGGGTTGTTGACCCGTATTTTGCCCTTCGTTTGGCTTATCCTTATAAGGTATGTTGCAGGCAGGTCCTCGGGCACGGATCCCCCAAAACCTTGGAGGCTCCGCCACTTGCCGCAGGCCTCTGCTTAGAGCCTTGCTAAGGAAGAAGGCCACATTGCCTAGGCAAAAGCGGGCTTCAGGCACGACATACGCATCATGGATCAGCAAAACGGGCAAACAAAACAAAAAAGAACAGTTCTGGCAATTTGGTTCTGGCTTTTTTTCCGCCAAGACCTAAGTATAACAAATCAGAAAGGGTCTTCATAAGACTCCCGGTGACAAACATGGCCCTGGGAATCGGTATCGGTTCATCAGCTGCGCCTGAGGGTCCCATCTCAGCGATCTCCGATGCGAACTGCCGCTCGGCAGCCTGCGACACCCCGGGAAAACTGGACTGGATTGTGGGCACAGATGGGTATGAGTCAAAACTGGACCACTGGATCATTGGATTGGGAAAACTGGACCACTGGTATGAGTCAAAATTATACCACCAGACCGCATGCAGTCCCCTTGTCCCATGAGTCAGCCTTTGGAGTGACGGACACACAAATATTTTTGTGGAAAGAAACGCATACAACCGCACGGTCGGTTTATGGGTGGGTTAAACAAAGGTAGCCAAAATGGAACCCTGGTATGGAAACAAGATTAAAGCCTTCAAGCGAATTGACATATGGGTTTGTGTTTGGAGGGCACCCTTCTGATTTAAGGGGAAGCAAACAGAAAGCACCCATTGGGGGTACTCAATATGAAGGTTTGTCAAAAGTAGCGCCCTTTTGGTGTCTTCTGTAAAAGGCGGCACAAGGCGACACCAGGTCCCAAACTCATATGTTTTGACCAACACCCCATATGCACAAAGGCCACGCATCACGGATAGATGCTCACCTTTCGCTGCGTGCCAGCCGCCAAAAGGAATCCCGCAGTGAGGTGATTCAATGAACGAAATCGCCTCTTGTTGGTTTGTTCAGTCGCTCAAGAGAGCAGGTCCAAAAGCATGACATTTTTGCGTTTCCTGTTTCAGGACACCCTTTTCAAGGCTTGTGTAAGGGGAAGCCGACCGGAAAAGTGCCGTTTTGGCGATACGCCGCCTCGCGCATGCGGCGGCAAATGCTGGACAGCGAGGGGCCGGCGCCGCGGGGCCTCTCCTGGATCTGTTGCAACCCTAAAGCCATAGGGCACAAGGGGCCTGATATGGGTACGGCTCCAAGTTAAAGAGCTGGGGTTACGCAGGTTTTAGTCTTTGGTTCCATTTACCAGGGTGCCATTTTGGTACCACTTTTTTGAGCCACAGCCATATAATTCGCTGGGCTAGAACATGTTAATTACCCCCTTTTTTGGCAACTCGTTGGGAGCTCAAGAGAAGCTGAGCTGTCACGTGGGAATTTGCCAAAAGAAACCTCTCCCTGCGTCCCCGAGGTTGACACATCCAATGTGTCAATGTGTCGAACTTGCGAGAACAGTACAAACAGTTCAAATCAATGGGCCCAGGGACAATGTTTCAATCCGTCCACTCATTGCGCTGTTGCAGCCTTCTTCTCAGGTCTTGAATTGCTGAATGACACGCACGAGCTCCTCAGCTTGCTCAGCTTGGGAGAGGAGCGCGTCTGACACAAGTGTCTCTTCCGCGTGCTCCTTCAGCGTAAACGGAATCAAGCCTAGTCCTTAGTGACATCTCACGACCAAGGCAATTGTTGATACCTCCGGACAAATCAAGCCTCGGAACTTTGGCTCTTTGGGGCGACAGCATCCCATTTGCATGACGGACATCGATCGAACCACTCACTCCTCTGCATGTTCCGCATGCGAGTGCAAGGCGTCTGCCACAGAATCGTCAGCGTCTCTGCGATTGCCTGCCTGAGGCTGCAACGCAGACCAACCCCACGGAACGGGCCCAAAAACGTTCGGCACCTTTGCCGCTGCATCTTCAACTGACAGCAGCGCACCCCAACACAACACACTGAGGCAGGTTCAATCACATTGAACATTTGGAAAGTCTGCAGTCAGGCTTGACTGAATGTGTTTTCCCACGCTGATCGTCTTCTCGGCTTTGAAAGGGTAACATGCATCTTGGCGAAAAGTGCACAGAGGGTTTGTGCAGGATTCCTGCCAGACCCGGCCAGCTGGTCAATGGGCTGTTTGCAGTGTCCGTCCCCGAGGTTCCCACAAAGCATAGACTGGTGACTGTGACCCATGTAACAAACCGCTTCTGCCACATGCGCACCCTGCTGGCGGCAACTTAATCTCTGCGCTCTTTGCCCCGCCTCCATGGCTGAACAGTCGTTGGACCCGAACGCCGTAGGCCAGTGCGATTGTGGAGTGGTGTCTAACGTGTGCAATTCAACATCTCTGACCACTGAACAATGCATTGCGCTGAATTCCTGTTGTGCGGTCAACTCTTGGCTGCCGACTGCTTGGACCTGTACTACCGCAGGCTGCATAGCAAGGCGCATACCATCACATGAGTCCAGTGGAATCCCTTCATGAGGTTGAAAAGCATCCCTACCAAATTCAATCCAAGAACCCTCCTACACGATAATATCCTTGAAGCATACCCCAACCCGATACGAAAAACGTCTTCATCATGGGTTGGAGTATGCTTAACTATGTTGGACGTTTCTTGGACTCACTCGCAAACCTGTATTCGGGTATGTGTCAAAATAGGGAGACCACCACATGCTGGTCCCTTTCACTTTCCTAGAAACCAGTCAGGGCGACCAACTCCGGCGAACCATCTGCCCTCCAAACCACCCAGAAGGGAAAACGGGTATATACCAACTTATAGTGGTTTGTCGTAGATTAAACGCTTTTGTGGGAGGCTTGGGTGGAAACTCTTGCACTTGCGCCTTCGAAAAGCTGCCTGCCCCGCGCCGCCGCAAGGCCTAGCAGAACTGGAAGGCCTCACCCCGCTTCAACTCATGGCCATAACCAAAAGATAATGAAGGTCAACACAACTCATGATGGTCATTTTTCGTTTTATGATTGTTATTACTATGATGATGATGATTATTATTATTATTATTATTTAAATAGGGAACCCAACCCGTACTAAGGGATTCCAGCCACTAGTGGCAACTTGGAAAGTCTACCGAATGCCATTCCCGACCGATGCTTGCAAATACCCGAAATGGCGGTTTTGCCTGTTGGCTTCCTTTCAAAACCACAGAACATGGGGTACCAACTCCAAACCCAAGTCATACCCAAAGGCTGTGGAATGGACTCCGGTTCTTTGGACCGTGTGCCGTAGCCTCGCATGTGACCTCATAGTGGCCCGGCCCAGGGCCGTCCTTCGCAGTCGAAAAGGTGCCTGCAGAGTCGACAACAAGCCGAACAAATCGAAGATCCACCATTTTGATTCTCAATTTCAGTGGCGGATCGAGATAATTTTAGCCAGGGAGCCTCTGGCAGACATCACTGTTGGGGACTCATGTTCAACAAGCGCTTTGGAAGTGGTTCCCCATTGAAACTCGCAGCCATAATATGTTTGAGGCTGTGCCTTCTAAGGATGCTGTCTGAGGCTTCGGCCATTCTTCGTAGATGTGGGAATCGTCCACCTCTAGCCACAAAGCCGTGAAAGACGAGGTCAAAATTTCCCAAGGGTTGCCCCAAACCATGGACATTGGGACATCTCGTCCGGGTGTCTGTGGCATTTTGGTGAATCTCTCTGGTTCTGGTGTGGGAAACTTCGTGAGTCCTCTGGTTGAAATGTAGGGAAATAAAAGGCTCCCGCCAGGCCACTACAACCATTGACCAATCACACATGGCCCTGAATTCTAATTGGGGACCCGTTGGTCATTGGTGGAATCATTTAGGGATTCATGTCCACCAACCACTTTTCAGGTGGTTCTCATTGGTTTCCGAAAAAGATTGACCCGAGGCTGGCACTGTGGCGCTCTGGGGCAAGAGGCAAGCACCACCAAAGGACCTGCACGACCAAATCGCGGGTCCACATGGGTGGCTCGTCCGATTAATTTTGCCGGTTGGATCCCCCTCCCTTTTGGGTTAAGGGATTGAGGCTAAAGGAAAATCAACAACTCTTGGGGGGTCCGACCTACTAAGACCCGAATCTGCGGACTGTGTCTTGATTTGAGGGTGTCCCTTTGGTGTTGTGGCTTTTAAAGGGAACCCAAAAGGAAACCACGATTTTCGGGGTCCAACCTTAAAAAAGGCGAGCCATCAGCACTGCGCTGCCGGTCTTTGCGGCAACACGCCGGGCCTTCTCTCATGGAGGCCTGGAGCGGTTGTTTCAACGACTCAGCCAGTGGAGACAAGACTTGGTGAAGGACTTGGGGTACTTTGAGACAGCCCCAATTCCACTGAACTCTTTTGACATGCAAAAAGGTCACTCCCACCCTGATGCATCCCGATCAAACTCTCCAGGGTCGCTGCGAACAGTTCATGAGTCAAGCTGCATTCCGATCACCTGTGAGGCTTCGTGTGTGCTCGCATTTCTCGTCGGCATTCATTAGCCTCCATGCGGTGGGAAGCCTTTAACCCGATGTGCGACGTGTTTCGTGAGTGCCCGAGTGCTTGCTCTAATCCTACGGCTGCGGAGAGCATGGCATGCACAGTTCTCCTCTTGGAGGGAAGCCGTTGGCAGCACAATGAGGCGAGCAACGCAGACCGCAAAGACTGCAGCAATCCACTTACAATCTCAGCAGGATAAATGTTCAAACTGTTGTTCGCGAAAAAAACTATAAATAAATATTGGCCCCCCACAAATCCCCCTGGTCTCAAGCACTTTACGCTTCATCTGGTGAATCTGCCTTCTCCTTTGCCACTTTGTGCAAAGAGCCACGGACGGGCACTGGAAGATGTGAAACCAATCAAGGCACGGGTGGATCAATCGTCTGGCATGACTCCCTGATTCAAACACCAATGGTTGATAACAAATGCCGTCTGAGGCGGGGATTCCGTTGCTTCTCAGGACCCCTGAGTTCTTATCTCGCAGCTATGTGTGGTCAATGGTTCCCCCGAAATCCAGACGTACTGCTTGCTCTTTTTCTCTTTTTCTGTGGTGTTTCACTGGAAGCCAACAGGTTTCAACCCCGTTGCGCCAGTCGGGCCAAACAGGGTCCATGTCTGAAACCTCACGGCAGATCTTTCTCCTCTTTCCGCCTCAGGCCTCGGATGTTCGTGGGGGGGGGCTTCTCCGAAAACACGCGGAGCTCCTCAAATCGTTGGGGTCCTTTTTTCTTTTTGCTTTTGGTTGTTGTTTCTGTTCTTTTTTTCCTTTTTTTTTGGGGGGGGGGGGGTTCCAAGGCTTCTGTTGCAAAGGACAACCAAAAGAACAACCGTGGCGCTCCCCGGAAAAAGGACACACCCTTTTGGTTTCCCTTTCAACACTCCACTGCCGTGGCCAAAACCAGTCCAAACTCTTTGTAGGCCACTGACATGGTCTTCCCAAAAAGCAGAGAGTCCAGGAACTCAGCAAATGAGGCATCCTTTTCGGGGTGCACCTCATGCAAGGAACCGGAATGCTGAGTGCCGAGCCAAATGCCTGGCCTCGAACATGACATGCCAGAACTAAGCAACTTGGGTTCCCTCCAAGTGGTTGGCTTCCTTTTGGCTTCCCTGTCAAACCATTCGAAAAGGGGGTCTCTATTTTGCTTTTAAGACAGACCCAATCGGCAAGTTTCAGCATGCTTGGAGACAGCCGACAACAGCTTGCAGTAAACGGGCAGCCACTGGCGGCCAAACGGCATGGAAAGACATATATATATATATATATACACTCGCTCGCTCAAGAAATCGGCTGGGGTCATGAAGCATTTGCACCTTCTTGACTCCTGTGTTCCGGGCAGCTAGCCAATGCAAGCATATCAGGGTTAGCTTGGTAGTGGAAACGACATGCAACATATTTGTCAACGTGGCATTCAGCTTGTGAAGGGCACATACACAAGCAAACGATCCAAAGCCATGGGCATCAGCAAGACGGCATCATTCGCATCTGCATGTTCTTATTCGAACTCAATTGCTGCGCGCTTGCTGTATAACAACCTGTGAGTAATCGTGCCATGAGCGAACAAGAAGTGTTTAGCTTTGAGGCTGACTCTTGACACACGCATACGAACACCTCCTCCCAGAAAAGGCCATTGCCACTGACCCCGAAACTGCGTTGAATTTGCTATGGATAGAGAACTATCTCACAAGTGGTTGATGTCCACCAAGGGATCCATTGACATTCGCAGGGCTGAGCTTGAAACCCATCCGCTCCATCATCGTTCCCAATACACCTGCGACTGGCCGGCTTGCTTGAAGGCAGGGACCCTTTCAGGTTGCTCAAGGGGATCCAAAAGGAAAACCAGCATTTTGGAAAACCAACATGTACCCACTCTCTTACCCGATTTTTTGATAGATTATCCAGGCAGATCATCCTCACCATGTCAGCCCTTTCAATGTATTGTTGGGACACAGGTCCAGTCTGCCTGTGGCCTCCGGCAACAGTCAGAAAGTAAGTGACCCAATGCCGCACCCTACTTGTCAGCCGCGTGTCACTTTATAGCGGGCGCCCTTTGAGGGGTTGGTTTAACGGGAGCTCAAAGAACACCACCCATTTCGAGGCTTGAGAAAAACACCAAAGCCGTGTGTCGCCTGGCCTTTGGGACTTGCGCCGTCAAGCAGTGGTGCATCGGCCTGCGCGTGTGGGAAGGAGTGCGAATGCTCCATGTTCCAAAACTACAAAACCCCCAGAAGGGATTTCTCCTCTTGACTTCCGAAGCAGCCCCCGTTTCACAGGCACCACAAAGGCACCCCACCCCCTCCGCGCGAGTCGAAGCTGCGGAGCCTGCGCCGGCTCCTCGAATCTTACCGATCTCAACCTCAAAACTTCTGCGACTCCGTCCAGCAATTCAGCTCTCCCCTATATGATTTGTAGGCTGGATTCGTGGTTTGGAGGTTAGGAGGCAGCGGTTTGGTTGCTTTAAAGGGAAACCAACAGGATTGTTCGAATTATGGGCACCGCCCGCCCTTGCTCCAAACCTGAGCCAGCTTTCCTTTAGCTTCAACTCAAGCAGGGGCCGCTGCTAAGAGGGGCTTCAGGGAGCCTGTTTCAAGGTATGGAAGTGTACAACTAAGTTTTCGGGGCTACAGAAGCAGCACAAAGCAAGTATAAACCTGCTTTCTGCGCAGGGCCAAGAGAAGCCCATGTTGACGAATAGAAGTTGACAGCTCTTTTGAGGAATTGTGAAGCCAGAATGTAACAAACAAATTGTGAGCTCTTTGGTCTTGTTGTCATGGTCGGAGGGGCGAAGTGCGTACTGCACACCTGCGCTCAGACCTACTTTGTAAGGCTTGCGCTTGAAGCTTGTATAAGGCTTGTATAAGGAATACATACTGTTGCAAGGCGTATGTAAGGCGTACATAACTCATAGGCTTATGGAAGGCTTATAGAAGTCGTATGATGCTTATACAAGGCATATTGCTTGCGTAAAGCATGTAAGGCTGGCATAACACCATTACAAGTAGTACATTGTTGTCGGCTACGGGGCAGGGAGTCAATTTTATCAGTTTCATGGCCCGCCATATGGCCTGAGCAAACAAGGATACACAATCTCCATCCCGAGCAACTGCGGTCCCTGAATTTGCTAAAAACAGAACTCTAGCAAGGCTTCTGTAAAGGGGTAGGGGTGTGTGCTTCGTCCGTGTCTGTGCTTTCTTTTCTTCTTTTTCTTTTGGGGGGGGTACTATGGGCTGGCTGAACCAAAAGAAAGCTACTTGCAGTTCCCATTTGCCCCTTACATACCCAGGGCAGCACCAGGCTTCTGGCCAATGCGGGTCAGGCTCCGCTGCCTTTGTCAGGGAGGGGGCAAAGGTGCACCAAGCGCAAAAGGGCTCAACTGAGGGTAACAAGGAAAGTTGAGTTCGAAACACTGGCTTTTCATGTTACACACTACGATCGCAAAGTGGATGCTGGAGATTCAACTCCCTCCCCCGCCTGAGCCAGCGCTGTATAGCTGGGAGGAGCCTGCGGGTTGCGTCACAAACTGATCCAGGATCCCGTAGAGGAGGATGGAATCAAATGCCCCTTGACATGTGATACCAAATGTCGCCCGGATGAATCCACCCACAGCATATGTTGTAGGCTGTTCTCCGCAGTGATTGGGATTCCCTCTAAAATGGGACCCCTCTCTATTGATCTTCCGGTAATTTCTTAATCCGTTCCCATTAGGCCAGTGGGTCATCGGTTAAGTCGCGCTGCTTGGCAACTTGTCTCCCCTGTGTTGGTATTGGCAATGTCTTGTTGGTTCTCAGCAGGGAATGAGGCAATGACCCCGAAGAAAACCATCCAACTGGTGGTTTCCTTGAAGGGGACATTCCCGGGTTCATTCCCACATTCCCTACCTATCGCACCGATCGCAAGATGTCCTTTCACCCGGGTCGGTGTCCAGTACGATGTGGCACGCTTGGTGCAGCTCCAGTCTTGCCCAAGACTGCGCTTTTAGCTCACAAACAAAGCGCATTCAAAGCCACATGCAAGTTGAAACTTGACGCAGCAGGGATTACCGCTATGAGGTTCTACCCACATGTTGAAATCGCAAAAGCCGGTGTTGGTACCAGGACATCTGGTGCTTCGCCAGCCTCTTTTGGCTAAGCCGGCTTTTGGACCCAAAGCTTGAACGTATCGCCCGTCTGTCTCTGGGTCGCTATGTTCAGGCTAGAATGATGAAAAAGGGTAGGTGTCAACACACAAAAAAACCCAAAATGGTGGCATTGCTGAACGGCTTCCCTCTAAACAACCTGACAAGGGAACCTAACAAAACAAACAAGCAAGCAAGCAAGAAAACAAAACAACAAACACGAACACGCATTGCAGTCACAAGTGCAACGGGGAACCCCACCTTGGCCCCTCCCCGCGCCTTGGCACGTGTCGCCTTGACCCGATGGGCCTAGGCTTGACGTGAGAAAGGTGTGGACATGGTTCCTGTGCCCCAGCCTCGCCGGAGAGGATGTCACTCACCTGAAGGGTTTGCAACGCAGCATGTGGCGGGTCAAAATGTTGGGCCCTTTTTTGGACCTCTTCCAAATCCACTAAAGGCGGGACAAAGTGATAGGGTCCAAGTGGGACGCCATTGACAATATGGGGTGTGTTTTGTGAGGCTATCCCTTTTTGTCGCTTTTACAGGAAAACCAACGGGAAAAACGCAACCATTTTGGGGGGTGCCACAAACCACGACACATCATTTGACAGCAAGCCTGCTCTTCGGACAGCGGGAAGTGCACAGGG